TGAATCTCGATGCGCAGATTTCGTGGCAGGCGCAGCACTTTGTGAATCTCGATGTGCAGATTTCGTGGCAGGCGCAGCGCTTGCTGAGTCTGGAAGTGCAGATTTCGTGGCAGGTGCAGCACTTTGTGAATCTCGATGCGCAGATTTCGTAGCAGGCACAGCACTTTGTGAATCTCAATGCGCAGATTTCGTGGCAGGCGCAGTACTTTGTGAACCTCGATGTGCAGATTTCGTGGCATGCGCGGTACATTGTGAACTTCGAAATGCTCCTATGTACTCGCCTATGTGCTCTCAGATTTGTGCTTGTGTGTGCTCTCACATTTGTGCTCTCAGATGTGTGCTCTCATGTGCTCTCATATGTGCTCCCATATGCTCTCATATGTGTGCTCTCATTTGTGCTCGTGAATCTCGATGTGCAGATGTTCTTGAAGGGTTTTGTTTACATGCGCGTCTGCAGTTGTAGCTTTTTGTTTTACAACGACCTTCAAGCCATACTACTCTGGCATTTTTGGCACTACGTTGGTCGCACTCTCCTCCTTACAACCTCATGCCTGGTCCCTCTGGTCTTTCACATGCTTCCGCATCTGCTGCTCTCATCTGTGCACTCTCACATTTGTGCTCTTGTATGTCTCCTCTCATATTAGTGCTTTCATCTGTGTGCTCCTTCTTTCCTTCCACGTGATGCCATGTTCCATCTGTTCCTCTTTACACTATTTGGGGTCCCTTGCCGGTGTAATTTGGTTTACTGGCCTCATCATCTCAATCTCATCTAATACATATCATGTCTATAGTAATCAATCATTTGGCTTCTGGACAAACCTATCCTGCACACGGTCCAAGAGCACGGGATAGACATGGGGCCCGAACACGAATCGGAGTGCAAGCAAAGACCGACAACCATGTTAGGTTCCTTTCCCAGCAATAAAGAATCCCTGAAATGTCTCTATCCTCTATACACCCCGTGAGGTTGCTTTGGCACAATTTACAAAACACAAGATTGATCTGTAAGTGTATGGGATGCTTTAGGAGGAATAAATTACAACGGTATAAAACACAGGAAACAACATTCGACTATAGAGTTGAGCCATGCGTTTTCTTTTTTTGGAGTGGACCTAGCGGAGTTGACCTCCGAACGCTCTTCGACTTCCAACGGATAACACTGTTGGGTCTTTTCCGCGTTCAATCCTTCAACCGGTGGCCCAAGTGGCGACCGTGTCTCCCACGGGGTACTCCAATTTCCAAGCTTGAACGATCCAGTCCTGCGCGGTGAGCTCGCGCGTGAAACCAAGACGTGGAGAGAGAGAGAGAGAATGAGAGAGAGAGAGAGAGAGACAAAGAGAGAGAGAGAGAGAGATAACAACAACAACAACAACAACAACAACAACAACAACAACAACAACAACAACAACAACAACAACAACAAGAACAAGAACAAGGTACAAACAAAAACTGCAGCCCCGTTACAAGATATCTTGTTCCTTTGTCTCTACAAGGGGGTGGAAACAAAATCTGCAACCCCGTCGTTGTTATTTTGACCCCCCCCGAAAACAACCAGCCAACATGTACTTTTACCAGTAGTGGTACTGCTTGTACTAGTGCTAGTACTAGTGGTACTAGTACTAGTAGTAGTCGTTGTTGTTGTGGTCGTAGTAGTAGTAATAGTAGTAGTAGTCGTAGTCGTAGTCGTAGTCGACGTAGTAGTAGTAGTAGTAGTAGTAGTAGTAGTAGTAGTGGTAGTGGTAGTGGTAGTGGTAGTAGTGGTAGTGGTAGTAGTGGTGGTAGTGGTAGTAGTGGTAGTAGTGGTAGTAGTGGTAGTAGTGGCAGTAGTGGCAGTAGTCGCAGTAGCAGTAGCAGTAGCAGTAGCAGCAGCAGCAGCAGGAGTAGTAGTAGTAGTAGTGGTAGTCCGGTCAGCTAAGCCTCTGTAAAGCTTCTACTTAGAACCTCTACTCTACCACATCCTAGAGACAAAAACTGCAGCCCGGTTGTTGTTTGTTTGGACCCCCCCACCCCTCAAGAGATGCTGTTGTCTCTACCCCCCCTAGAAACAAAATCCACAGCCCCGTTGTTGTTTTTTGACCCCCGCCCCCCTCCAGAACAACACCCCAAAAAACATCAAAAAACAAGAAACAGACCAACCAAGACTTGAGTACCACAACGACAAGAAGTCCAGCTACTAACATCTCTCTAAACCTTCGACCCTATCCCTAACAGTGTCCCTTTGAAATCCCTGACTTGCAACATGTGACAACTATGTTGGGCAGCTGTTTTTGTCTCAACCAACAACAAACAAACAAACAAACAAACAAACAAACAAACAAACAAACAAACAAACAACCACCAACCAACCAACCAACCAACCAACCAACCAACCAACCAACCAACC